GTGAAAGTCGTCCTACAAAATAACCCTCCTCTTCTTCTCTCTCGTCTCCCTCACACCATCCACGATTCTTTTCAAAGGTAAAGCGCAGGTTAATTTGTTTCATATATTTTACTTTATATTTTTATAAACTTTTTATAAACTTTTGTATATATGAAACCATTTTTTCTTACTGAAAAATAAAAATGTGCAGTTATAATTGCATATAAAAATGTGAAGCTGTTGTATTTATATTTGGAAATTAATTATATATACATTTATATATTCTTAATGCGCATCCATTCTCTCAGCCCTTGAATGTCAGCATGAAGGACGAGGGAGGTGAAATCTCAGGCCTCAGCTGATCTGAACGACCCCCACAAGCACGATTCTGCTGCATCCGGCATTAATGTGTGTGTACCCAGAGGTGCCCCCCCATCCCCACCCCCGTTGCCCGCTATAAATCGCTGTGACGATGTTGTCCTGTCTTCTGGCCAGGCGTGAGGATGATGTCACTGTCCTGTAGTATATCAGCTATAACTCTTGGCCTCCGTCGGGAGAGAGCCTGGACAATAATCAATGAATTATGTGATTCTTGATTCTTATAAGGAGGGATCCATCCCATTTACACTGACCTGGGCCCATACTCTGCTTGACTGTTAAATAAAGTTTAATAAAGCACTCTGAAACACACATAACACAACAGTACGTGCATTTATGGAGAGCCGAGAAGTTTGGGAGTGGAATGAGGTAGTAGAATGCCTTTGCATTCAGGCCCCTCATCTATTCATTCATAACGTAACAGGAAATGGGCTCATTGACTAAAACAGAAGGGAGCCTAAAAGGAGTGAAAAACAGCCTACACACTGCCAGTTGTTCCGTAACCCCCCCCCATTTAAAAATGGCGCGCTGGTTACTCTGGACTGGCTTTGGCACCAGGTCTGGTAGTGACATCCATCCCAGCCCCCCCCCACTCCTAGCTCTGGCTGGTATAAATATCTGCAGACAGGAGCAGCAGGACTCGTAGCTCCCTCTGACATGGCGCCCATGTGATCTCGCAGGATGCCTCCTTCTCCCGTCAGACTCCAGCATTGCCTGATGATTCTTTGTGTGTGTGTGGGGGGAGGGAGGGGGGTAGAGAGAGGGAGGGAGGGGGGTAGAGAGAGTGAGCGAGCGAGAGAGAGCGAGTGAGAGAGAGAGAGAGAGAGAGACCACCTCCCGTTATTAAACTGTAAAGCATATGGTCCCGGCAGTAGAGTGGTGGCTGGGAAAATCAGGTCTCTCTCTCTGTCTCCGGTGCCGTCCTGAGGGTCAGCGCACAGCAGCAGGCCGAACATGGGAGCCGGCTCGGCTCAGTTAGTCCGCTCGCTCTAATTAGAGCCCCACGCTGGGTGTTTGATCAGCCGGGGGAGGAGGGCTAGGGCGTCAGAGGCTGGCATCAGAGACAGGTGAGTGTGCGTATGCCTGCGGGGCCCCCGGGGGAGGGGCTGGCTATAGTGCGGTGCGGGTACAGGTTCAATCGGGGCGAGGCTTACGTGTCCACCCCCCCACCCCCCACTGGCTAAATCTTTGGGTCAGAGAGCCGGGCATCCGTGGGATTGTGTGTTACTGCAGGTTACAGGGAGGGGCCACTTTGCGTAAGCGCGCCCCCTGCTGGCACACCTTAGTCAGGTTAGGCAGGAGCTGGCGTGTTTGGCAGGCAGAAGAGGAGTGGGGGGGGGGGCGGCTGTGGACATGGAGGCGTTTGCTGTCCACACCCACCATGCCTCTGTATGACTCCATGCTAGGGCTGGCAGCACTCTGTCTCCCTGGGCTGGGGGTTGGGGGGGGGGAACTGCAGGAGAGAGTGCGGCTGGATGAAGCCAGACCGTATATCGCACAGCAAGCTAAAGTAGATTCGATCCCCTGCAAATGAGCTTGATGCAGAAATGAAGGTCATTTATCCTAACGGATGGCAGACAGGGTTAGGGCGCGATTCCTGGGTGTATGGATCATGAATTATCCCAGCGGCTCTGGTGACTCCTCAATGGAGAGAGTCCATCTCGCTACGAGAGTCTGTCATCACTGCTTCGGGTGGTTCGGCCGCTGGGAGGTTTGTGCAGATTTTCTTTATTTTACCATTTTATTTTTTATTATTAATTCGAACAAAAACACTATTTTAAAATTGATATTGAATGTAGAGGCCACAATATTGAGCCGCTTCATATATTTAACACTGCAATTTATTAATTTTCTGCGGTGCAATTACTATCACATGTAAAATCACCAATCACGTAGGTATAATAGCATCTCCATGGAAACCATTAGCTGTGGGAGATTGTAGTCGATTTTGTTGGGAAACACGAAGATTGTGAATGGATCTCCTGCACGGGGGAGATAATTACGATGATCCGAAAGTAATGGAAACAGGCTGCGTCGGAAGAAGGAGTCAAGCCATTTTCTGTTTATGTTTATGTTAGACCATTTCTCTCCTTAAATTATGACCGGGGCAAGGAGCTATCGTGTCAGTTTTATCGGTTTTAAAGATTACGAGGTCAAAGGTCATTTATTGAATAGAAAACACACACACAAAAGCTCACTATAGTACTACTCGGTAAGTGAGAGGCTTATGTGCTGCATATCTCCATTAATAATAATAATTATTGTTGTAATTATTGAGTATTATGGGGTAAATAAATAGTGAATTTGTTGATTAATAGTTATTATAATAAATGTTAAAATAAAAATCAGATTTCGTATTTAAATACCAACACTACACTTTGGGGGATTGTTAGTCTTATAGAAACAATTTAATTTCATAATGTGATCTTTCAGAAGGTCTAGCAATGGGAAGTGACCATACAGTAGAATGTGTGAAGTGTTCCCTATGTAGTGTGATTGTTTTGTACGGTTCGTTTTGCACACTCTCTGTGTTACTTTGCCCTTTGTGTCTTGGCTGCTATTACGTGAGAGCAGGGCTACATGCCGACTCACAGTGACCTGACAGGCAAGGGGCCTCTTCTCCCCGGAGGCACCAAGAATGGCCCCTGGAGCTTGCTTGAGGGCCCCCTCCTGGCAGGGGCCAGAGTGTATCAGCATCAAAATGAACTAGGAGCATCCCCCCCCCCACACACACACACACACTCCTGCCACCCATGGATTAGACCGAGTGACTACGAACGAGTTGGCCTCATCCCCCTACTCATCAGGCTACCTCTCCACCCTCCTCCATCTCCGCCATCCCTGCTCTCATTCTTCTTCACGCCTTTGTCTCTCTCGCTTTATCTACACAACAGCGGCTCTGTGTAAATGTAGAGGCACATTTAGTCAGTGTATGCTAGAAAAAAATACACTACCCATTCATTCATCTTCCAGCTGTTTTTCCAATGCAGGGTAATAGAGTATTTATATTTACATTAGGAACATAAAACGTTAAAAGCTCAGTGTGGTGTCGCATCATTGTAAAAATAACAAGTTGCTCTGAGAAATTAGCTTTGGGCTGTGTTTTAATTAGCCGTGTGCTAATTATTTATGAAATCATAGTTTACACCCTGTTAAATATATACGCCGAATGCTTCAGGTATTTTGAGGTGCCACGTCAGAGACATCTAATGGTTTTGGTGACGGCTGTGACCAAATATTACAAATTGCATTATCAGATTACACACACAGGGCATACGCTTTGCTAGTGAGACAGCATCAGCAGTACCTGAACTGGTGTAAGACCTTCTCATGATAAACTGATAACCTTTGTAGTATTTAAGTGTAGCATTTAAACTCTGTCATTTTTTTTTGATGTTGTGCTCGCTGTGTAACGATAGTCTCCCTGATGGACTGAGCGAAGTTTTAAAGGAGCGGTCCCAGTGAATCACAGACCGGGTAACCACGGGGGGCCTCGTGCCCTAAATCTGTACCGTCTTTAATGAAGCTGTGCCGCTCACGGAGGGGGGGCTGGCCCTGAGAGGCCTCACCCGGGCATCCCGGCTCACCCCCCATTCCAGATTGGTGCTTTTCCACTTCACAGCAGGCCTCCTGTTCATGGATGAGGAAAGGGCAGGTCTTCTGTTATGGTCTGTGCGACTCGACCGATCGGACTCTCCGTCCATCTTCTAACCTCTTATTCCCATCAGGGTTGTGGGGGGTGGGGGGTGGGGGCTGAAGTCCATCCCAGTCAGCACAGAGTCCAAAGCTGAGGTACAACCGGGTATAATACCGGTCCATTTCGAGACGTGCACACACACACACACACACACACACTGTAGTACCGCTACAGCACAATTAGAGGCACTAATTAGCCTAACTGCATGTTTTTGGACTGTGGAGGATGCCCAGATGTACTCAGAAGATACCTGTGTGACACATTCAGTCTTAGTGTTAGCCCATCTCCCTGGTTTGAACTCTACGTGTCTCCAACAATACTTAAAAATAATAAAATAAACACATGGCACACACACGGGTGGCATGTAAATTTCAATTGAAATTCATGGCTGCCATATTGTTAGGCAACTCTAATTTCCCATAAGAAGCAAATTAATTAACTCTGCAGCCAGTGGGTATTTTCAATCATGAGTTGCACCGCCTGCACCGCTATTTCAGCTGTGACGGCAATTACATTTCGTGCTGCCACCTCAGACGAACGCTGATGCTTCATATTCTGTGTTCAGGCTTCACAATCCACCTGGAGGTGCTCACACCCCACCCCCAATTTTACTGTTTTTCTAACATGTACGTTTTTATTTTTTAAGATGTGCAAATGGAACATGGCGTCGGAATATTAAACGGATCATTTTGGAATCCTAATCAAAGACAACTTGACTCTAAAATGAGTCTGAAAATGAAATTAATTTATGGGAATAATGGGTAACTTAAATTGCAATAACAAGTTCTTCTTCCGTTTTACTATGGGGTTGTCTTCAGCCAGACAATCAGCTGCTCCAGACTGAGGAGTTGGGGTTGGGCTGGGGGGTGGGGGCTTTAATTGAGAGCGTAGAGGATTCCAGGAGCCTCCAACATGGAACACAGTGTTGCCTGTGGTTACGTAACAGGTGCAGAGCGTGGCCATGAGCGGAATACTGAAGAGGAAGTTCGAGGAGGTGGATGGCTCCTCGCCGTGCTCGTCCCTCCGCGAGTCCGAGGATGACGTCTCCAGCAGCGAGAGCGGCGACAGCAGCGACAGCGCCAACCCCTCGGCTGCCAGCCACTTCGCACGTAAGTCACCAGCCGCGTGCTGCTTTCCCTCTCTCTCTCCTGGCTAAGGAGCCATCCATCCCGGGCTGTCAACCTTTATGCCCACGCCGTGTCTGCATCGATGCTGACAATGCTGGCAGGAATCCTGAAACAAGTTATCAGTTACAGTTAGAGATGTAACAGGTAAGACAGACTGCAGACACACAACGAGAAAACACCCCCTTGGTTCCCTTCAGATCGATAATGTTGAGTCATGTAGAGATCTAACCCTTTACACTTAATGAGGTAGAGCTATGTAGAGATCAGTCTTTTAATTAAGTAGAGTTATGCAGTGACCAGCCCTTTAATTAAGTAGAGTTATGCAGTGATCAGCCCATTACTGAAGCAGAGGTGTGTAGCGATTAACCCATTAATGAAGTAGCGTCTATGTAGAGATCAGCCCATTGATGAAGTAGAGTTATGTAGAGATCAGTCCTTTAATGAAGCAGAGTTATGTAGCGAACAGCCTCTTCACATTTAATGAAGCAGAGTTATGTAGAGAACAGCCTCTTCACATTAAATGAAGCAGAGTTATGTAGTGATCAGCCTCCTCGGATTTAATGAAGCAGAGTTATGTTGAGATTAGCCTCTTCACATTTAATGAAGCAGAGTTATGTAGAGATTAGCCTCTTCACATTTAATGAAGCAGAGTTATGTAGCAATCAGCCTCCTCGGATTTAATGAAGTAGTTATGTAGAGATCAGCCTCTTCACATTTAATGAAGCAGAGTTATGTAGAGATCAGTCTCTTCACATTTAATGAAGCAGAGTTATGTAGGGATCTGCCCCTTACATTTAATGAAATAGAGTATTGCAGAGTATTGTCATTAGACATTGCTTGGGTAGGCGAAACTCTGAGTATGGTACAGAGTGTGGCGCACTCGAGAACCTGCCACGATTTACAATGAAGCCCGAGTTTAGTTCAATTAAGGGAATGTTCTCTGACTGCCCTTGAAAGCAGAGTTTATCAGGCGAGCCTCATTGTACAATAACCTCAGGAATGAGATGAGTCCCTCTGACCAAAGCCACCAGGCTTTTTCCTTCTTTCGCTCCTTTCCCTGAGCCCTCGATTGGTGTTCCTCCCCAGCTCACAAGAGGAGGGAGATGCCCCCACGGGCACTGTGCCCCCCCCCCCCCCCCCTTGCTCTCTACTTGCCATGTCTGATGCTGAATGGGTGTGAGGTGTGGTAACTAGATTTTTTTACTGAACTCTGCAGTTGGATTTTACTGCCTTTCACTGCATGTTCAGGGGTGTGACATGGGGAAGCCCCTCTCAGATTGTCACCAGTGTGACCGCACCTACTGAGACAGCCATCTCATGGGTGATGCAACACTCAAAGATCATTGCGTAGGCGGATGGTCTCATGGAGGTGGAATTTCCTTTGAAGCTGTAGATACGTGCAAGAAAACGGTCACATCTCCTCCATCATATTACTGCTGGTAGTTATTTAAGGAAAGTATTATGAAAGTTGCCTTATGTTTATTAAGTAAGTAATTGAAAAATTGTAAAAATTTTAAGATCCCAGATTATTTAAAAGATTTAAAAGTTTAAGATCCCAGATTATTATTTTTCATATTTAATAGAACATAAGGAAGTACCCAGTACTAAAATAGTATCTTATCAGATTAAAGCAAATACTTAGAGTCATGGCAATGATTCTAAAAATAAACCTTTAGACATAATATTGATCAGTGTTATACAGCATTAAATATGGTTGATTAAGAGAGGCTCATTGAGTCTTCATCCCTGACTTTCCTAAGCTGTCCTGTCAGATCCCTCTTTCCTGAGGGATATCTACATGAGCATCTTCCCGAGCAGCCGGGCTCCTGTCTCCGCATCCTGACTCCCAGTGTGTAGATCAGCAGAAATGCCCTCCAGTGGTTATGCTGAGCCGGTCTAAGTGGCACGTTTCAGTTACAACAATAAGCCATGCATTTAGGCTGTCCCTAGAGGCCGTAACATCCTGTGAGTTCCGTCTAAAGGACTGTAATTTATTGGCGTCGGGATCCATGTGAAAGAGTTTGTAACTTCCTGCGGATGCGGTTACACGCGGATAGCAAGCTCAACTAATCTTGGATCCCTTCATAGATATGAGATGAGGTTATAGCGCATGATGTTATTGTGTACTGCCATATGCCCTTCAGTCATAAGCAGGGCTGGCTCTAGCTATTGGCTGGATAGGCAGTCACCTTGGGCCCCTGAATTACCTGCAATGCGGAGGAAGTGAAATGATCATTTTCTCGGAAGAGGGCCTCCCAAGTAAGGCTTTGTCTGGGGGCCCCTGAAGATTTTAGCACCATCACTGGTTATGCGTGGTACAGGTCTGTAGCTATACCTCGCTCAAAACTATAATGGTTATAATGGTCCATGTTACAATATTTTGACTTTATGAGATATTCAACGCTTTATTATAAAATAGGCTTTGTGTTAATGATTTTGCCCGACTGCAGGCTAATGCAAGTGTTCTAAGCATGTTTAATGTAGGCTAGGCTAGGCTATGATGGTTGTTGGGTTACATGTAGTGTATTGAAATGCATTTTCGCCTTACGATAGGTTTATCGGAACATAACCCCATCGTAACCTAGGGAGTGCCTGTACTTGTAGCTGGGTTCCTGCTCAGATGAGATTCTGCAGACATCAAGTGCTCAACCACCAACTAACCTCCTGCCCTCAAAGAACCCCGCAGTCTGGCTGCACTGTGCCAAGAAAATAAGGAAGGGATGGCCAGCACAGCATAGCAGAGCCGCTTCTGTACAGGAGATGGCGCTGTGTCCTCTAGTCTACCACAGCTTTTGCAGATCTGTGCCTGGGAAAGGTGACAAAGTTTATCACGCATCTATTGTTCTGCAGAGTCATACCAGTCCAGTAATTCACAGTCGGTATTCTGTATTCAAGAGAAGCGTGTGATGTTTTCTGTTTGTCAGTTTTTTTCCCCCACTCCACCAATTTCCCACTCGTAATTTAATTTTGACGCAGATCAGCCAAAATTAACAGGAAATGCAAATACAACAAATACGACTTTGCGCGATTTCAATACAATCTTTTATGTTTGGTATTTCATTTTTTTGTTCTGCGGCATTCAGTTATCGCATTTCTTTTATATAATTGTGCACCCCCCCCCCACGTCAGTATGGTAGCGCTGTCGCCGCGCAGCATGTAATGAAAAGCATTGTCCTCACGGCGCCAGCGAAGAGTCAGCCGCTCGTAGCAGATGGTCCCGGTTCACGCTGACATCACGTATGTCTGGCAGCGGAGCGACTGGGGAAGCCATACAGAATGTCACATCGGAACTGGGACGGCAGGGGGGTTAGGTGTTAGCCATGCCCCCCCCCCCAACATTACAGGAGCCAACTAGGCATGATCAGCAATAAACGAGACAGTTCCTGGAAATACAGCACTAATATGATACTAAGACTGCACATGAAGTCAGTGATGGATATCCTGCACGATACGTAATAGACAGGAGGTCTTTAATGTGGTCAGATTAAAGTCGAAATGTAAGCACATTAGCAGTGAGGCTTAGACTAAGATTACATTGATCAGCCCTTACGGGAAATAAGCTGCCTTTCCTTTCGGAAGTACCGCGTTGTCATTGACTGAAAGGGAATTTGCGCTCACATGTCATTATCAGAGGCTGAGGAATCCCTATGAGGAATGCTGTATGACTAAGAAGTGATGGAGACTCGTAACCTTGCAATTTCATAAGGACTTTAAACTCATCCTTTTCATGTGGAGAAGCGCTCAATTGGATCAGGGAGTTAGCTTTCAGATTTACCCTTATTGGCAAAATTGGATTTTCACGTATATATTTTTTTTAATGGTCTTTGACGTAACTCGCTTCATTACACAGCTAGTACAAACGCCGTATATGAAATAGAAATTGTCTGAAAAAACAGAGCTTTCAAACATCCATCAGAAATAAATCAGGTTAAACGTTCCTAAGGGTGATGGACTCTCCTCGCTCCGTACGTGGTCCTGTATGTAATCAGTTTACACTTTGCACCCTACGTTTACGGTTTTTTATTTATTTAGCAGATGCTGTTTTCCATATAAAACGGGCTCTGAGCAAACCATTTCTCCAAGCAGCGCCATGTACTTTTAAGTTAAAAGACGGTTTGTAGCGCACCAAAAAATGAAGAATTGTCTCAACAAATTTCAGTAAAACATTCCACTTCTAAAAATAAGTGCTGACACTTGAGCCATTTCAAATTTCTATTGGATTCATGTCAGTTAATCATTATGCTTTATAAATGTATTCAAAATAGGGCACTAATCGGCCAGTTAATTTGAAGAAAAAAATAAGCACAAAGGCTGCCTGCTCTGATAAACACCTGCTCACAAACACTACGTACAGATACACTATATGGACAGAAGTATTGGGACCCCTGGCCATTACACCTACAGATAGTTTTATGACATCCCATTCTAAATCCATAGGCATCAATATGGTCTCCTCTTTGCAACTATAACAGCTGCCGCTCTTCTGGGAAGGCTTTCCACAAGATCTTGGAGTGTGTCTGTGCAATTTTTACCCATTCATCCAGAAGAGCATTTGTGAGGTCAGGCACTGAAGTTGGACGTGAAGGCCTGGCTCACAATCTCTGTTCTAGTTCATCCAAAAGGTGTTTGATGAGGTTGAGGTCAGGGCCAGTCAAGTTCTTCCACACCAAACTCACCCAACCAGGTCTTTATGGACCTTGCTTTGTGCACTGGGGCACAGTCATGATGGAACAAAGAAGGTCCTTCCCCAAACTGTGCCCACAAAGTTGGAAGCATAGAATTCTCTAAAATGTCTTGGTATGCTGAAGCATTAAGAGTTCCCTTCACTGGAACTAAGGAGCCTGGCCCAACCCCTGAGAAACAACCCCATACCATTACCCCTCCTCCACCAAACTTTACAGGTGGCACAATGCAGTCAGGCAGGTAACGTTCTCCTGGCAACTATCAAACTCAGACTCATCCATCAGACTGCCAAACAGAGAAGTGTGATTTGTCACAGAACACGTTTCCACTGCTCCAGAGTTCAGTGGCGGCGTGCTTGGAATTGCGTTTGGTAACGTGAGGCTTGCATGTAGCTGCCCGGCCATGGAAGCCCATTCCATGAAGATCCCGCCTCACAGTTTTTGTGTTGTGGTTAATGCCAGAGGAAATTTGGAACTGTACAGTTACTGAGTCAGCACAGCGTTGGCACCTTTTACACATTCGGTGACCTGCTCCGTTACTTTACACGGCCTGCCACTTCATGGCTGAGTTTCTGTTGTTCTTGAATGCATACTCTTTGCAATAATACCACTTACAGTTCACTCTGGAATATCTAACAGGGAAGAAAAAACTGACTTATTGCAAATGTGGCATCCTATGGCAGAACCACACCTGAACTCACTGAGCTCTTCAGAATGACCCATTCTGTCACAAATGTTCATAAACCTGACTGCATGGCAAGGTGCTTGATTTTATACACCTGTGGCAATGGGGCTGAATGAAACAACTACATTCAGTGATTAAGAGGTGTGTCTCAATACTTTTTTCCATATAATGTATATGCATACATGCTCATTAACACAGTTACTTTGGTTTGAACACTCAGTACTGGGTCGTTACGTAGTTTGATGCTTCCTTGGAAACACCAGTTTTAACCGGTTATTCTTCACTTCAGTATAACTCTCCAAAAAGATCAGTGGGCAGTGGTGCAGTGGTGCAGTGTCATCGCTCAGTCCAATTTGCACACAAGTAAGGGAATATTTTTTGTAATTCGCACACATTGAATTTTAGTTGAATATGGAACGAAAATGTCACACTATAGAGGCCTGCATACGAGTGAGGAAAGTTTGGGGTCAGGGAGTAGGGTTAGGGCAGCATCCAGCACTTATGGAGCTGTCGGGTTTAAGGACGTTGCTCAAGGGTCCAACAGCAGTTTGAACCCACAACCTTCTGGGCATGGGCAAGGAGTCCTATAGCTCCTATACCTCTTCTGATGGCGTGCCAGTGAGTCCTTGGGGGCACACTGTCAAGCTCAACGATCCCTCACCTTATCCATCCAGCTGCCTCCATACTGAAGCGAGAGAAGAGGATGAGGACGAAGAAGGTGCACTTCGAGAAGGTGACTGTGTATTACTTCAGCCGGCGTCAAGGCTTCACCAGCGTGCCCAGCCAGGGCGGCAGCACCCTGGGCATGTCCAGCCGGCACTGCGGCGTGCGCCAGTATACCCTGGGCGAGTTCGCCCTGGAGCAGGAGCGCAACCATCGCGACATGCTGCGTGACCACCTGAAGGAGGAGAAGCTGAACACCATTAAGCTCAAGGTATAGTAAGGCCGCACTGAGAAAGAGGACTGAGCACCTATTACACATGCTACGGTACTCTCATCTCCTCACCCATTTGTTGAAGGAGAATTGACAGCATGGTTAATGCTGAAATTTATGCTTTATTTGCCATTTGTAATGCATTTGTTAAACCGACAACCTTCTGATCCCGCTAAAACACGCTGAGCCACACAGTTGCAACACACTTAAAAATATAAGCTCAATATAACTGGGATTTCCACCATTAAAGTCTATGATTCACCTGTGGCGTTATTCCCAATATTAATATTATTTATGGTCTAAAAAGCAGCCTGACATCAGTTTGATAAAGAAACGTGTTTTAAACCATCTCAAGTGGCCCAGACTCTGACAGTGCAAACGTTAGAGATATTCAAGATATCAGAGGGCCAATTCCCAGACACCCTTCAAATTTGTTAGGGTGAATATTAAGTTAAATATGAGTAGTTATATTAAATAGGTGCTAAATGTTAGCCTACATAAGCTCACATTCTGCATAAGGGCAGTCCAGCTATTGCCACATGGGAAATTTCCCTTTCTTGCTACAGAAATGATAACAATGCTCAGTTATTTAGCCACCAGAGCACCCCCCAGGTCCACCACTTTCCCAGTTCATGTCATCCTGTCCCCAGCTAACAAAAAACGGCACGGTGGACTCCAAGGAGGCCAGCGTGCTCACAGCGGAGGACATCTCCGACGACGACCTCGACCTAGACAACACAGAGGTGGACGAGTACTTCTTCCTGCAGCCGCTAACCACTAAGAAACGAAGGGCGCTGCTGAGGGCCTCGGGCGTCAAGAGGATCGATGTGGAGGAGAAGCACGAGCTGCGGGCCATCCGCGTCTCCAGGGAGGACTGCGGCTGCGACTGCAGGATCTTCTGCGACCCTGAGACTTGTGCTTGCAGCATGGCGGGGATCAAGTGCCAGGTGCGTGTCATTTCCTGTCTTGTCCGCTTCCCTGCAGGCCTGCATGAAACAGGCCGTTTCCTGTTTGAGCAACATGTCAAAGCGCTGTGGTCCAGCAGAGCTCTGCATGCACGCTGCATTGTGTCTGTCTCTCCTGTGGTCCCTGTAGGTGGATCGCATGTCATTCCCATGTGGCTGCAGTAAGGAAGGCTGCAGCAACACGGCAGGCAGGATAGAGTTCAATCCCATCCGGGTCCGGACTCACTTCCTGCACACCATCATGAAGCTGGAGCAGGAGAAGAGCAGGGAGCAGCAGCAGACCTCTATGGCGGATGGTTACCATGGCGATGTCAACGTGCATGGAAACGCCCTGGTCCAGGGGCAGCACGGCCTGGAGTACACGCTGACCGACGCCGTCCCCCAGGCTGCAATCATGCACCTTCAGGCGGCCAACGAGATGGACGAGGCTGTGGAGGAGGAGGACGAGGAGGAGGAGGAAGAGGAGGACAATGAGGAGGAGGAAGACGAGGAAGATGAAGATGACGGTAGCAGCCTGTGCAGCGGGCTCACCGACTCCAGCACGCACAGCCTTGCCGCAAGTGACTCCGAAGAGGAGGAGAGCGGCAAAGAGAAGCCGGACGAGAGCGTGGAAGAGGTGACTACAGCCCATGTGTCTCACACTGAAGTGGTATCGCTCTCCTCCGAGCTACGCTACCCGGAGGAGCCATCGGTGCAAGACAACCATAGCAACGGCAGCCCATACTTCTCAGCCTCCCCGGCTGAATATTATCAGATGAAGAACTCAAGCAGCATAACTGACGTTTCTATGGGTAACCGCTGTAGCGATTCCTTTGGTGAAGCCCCGCGGTTTCAGGACGGACTCGTGTCTCTGGACTCCTTCTGCGTGGGCCCCGACCCATACCACGATTACTCCCAGCAGGCTGAGGGCCAGTACGCCAACCAGTGTTTCTCTGTCAGCAACGGAGCCTCTTCTGTCATCGTCTGCTGCTCTCCCGACCAGAACGACGACGTCCAACCCGGACGGGGCTCCTGCAGCCCACCAGCAGGCCATGTCGAGCTCCAGAACTTCTTGAAGGAAAACGGTGAGGAGCTGTACGTCAGGCAAGACGGCTGTTTCGGGGCTGAGCCACAGGAAATGTCAGATGGACTTCCGGAGACCCCGGCCCCCTCTGACAGCGTGCAGGTCGCCCCATCCGTGGAGTGCTTACCCCAAGTCTCCTTTGTCTAAGTCTTTCAGTTAGTCCCAAGAGGTTTGTACGGTTCATTTTTTAAATCCAATTCTTGGCTGATTGGTTAATGTTTCAATGTGAGAAGTGGATGTAAACAATGTACAAAGTTAGGGTTTTAATTACCTGCAATTACTATAGGTACAAAAAAAGTAAATAACCTGCAAATGAATTCATTTTATGCCAATGGGTCCAGACTCTAGGTGTATGGAATATAAAAAATACAAAAAGGGTAATTCATGTAAAATAACGCTGAAGTGCAAAATTAAAAGCAGAAAAAAAATGTAGGCTTGTGCAATGTACTGTAATTATCTTGTAAAAGTTCTAGTTTTCAGCCAATTCTGTGAAGACCTTTTATACGTCTGTGTCCATTGCTGAAAAAGGAAAGTATATTGTGCAGTTTATTTATGGAGTCAAAGTGGATGTAAAATAACATTTTGATAATGAAAAGCATGTTATTTTTGAGGTGTAAACGTCCTCTCTCTGACCAATGGATGAAAGTGGGTCTAAAATTCTGTATCAATGTACTGTATGGGACGGTATTTTAAAGTTGTCATCTGTGCTTTTTATAGTTTGTAAAAGCATGTGACTTTTTTGTGGTCCTTTGCTTTTGGTGAAACGTCCAAAGCCACAAATCTGACCTTATGGAAGGTAAGGTGTTGAAAATGTATTTGCACTTTTTTAAAGACAATTCTGAGGACAGATGCCATGGAATGACTAATACTTGAAACATGATATAAAAACGAGTATTCAGTGGTCTTGTTTCTCTCCCTCATTCAGTTCACTGTTCATTACCAGTGTGTTCTTTACATTTGCTGATACTTAAAGCACTTGTTTTTATTTGGAAAATCACATTGTTATTTTAAAACAAAACTGAATGAAAGCCAAGCGGGAAGTGATTATAAAAAGGTTTTAATGTTGGGGAGGCATACTTAAGACACAAATTTGTTCTCAGCTTTGTACAATTTCAAATACTACACTTATACCTCATCAAAACCACATGCCTGCAAATTTTCTGCTGTGAAAACCTTCTGCAGGTCGTTTTTACAAACCTGACATTACAACGGTTAACTAGCTCCATAAAGAACATCAGCCTGCATATTGGAGTCGGGTCATACAGGAATGCAGCGGTGTAATTACAATCACGGTTGGTCTGTTTTAAGGTGAGATCGCTGCTTTTCTTTACATTAACGTGATCCTATTCCACATTCTGCTCATCACTCAGATTGTAGCCTAAATTTTCTATTATTAACATGTGACATGGATGATTCTATTTTGATTTTTTTTTTTAAGGGGGGGTCAAATTCATAGAGGGGCCAGTCTTTTTATTAGCCAATGATATTTTTTGAATTGGTAAGTGACCGGGAGGGGCACTCTGGGGGCCAATCAGCTTTCAGCTGGAGCCAGAGCAGCCACTGTGGCCCCAACCCTGTGTACAGGAGCTACCAATATGAATAAAGTTTTAGTCATTCCAGTCTAGAAACAGTGAGGAAACTAACATTGTCAGTGCTCTAAACCAACAGAAAAGCATTCTGGGAGTGCTTGGAGAATCATAGCATCCCGTTATTGAAATGCTCTGAGTGCCGGAATCATTGACAGCCAGCTACTGCAATGTGGTAACAGAGCACATGGCTCTGAGACCAGGCCGGAGTCTGCTCTAAGCTGCGGTGTCGCTGGTTCCTGCTGTGCCCCAAGCCTCTTGGACACCTTGGCCAGTAGGGTACCATGGAGCTATGTTCAACACATGCACTGTTTCTGCTAGACCCTTCTCAGATGTGTGCTTGGCACTTAGTCAGTCTATATTGATTTTTAAAAAAAAAATTTAATCAATCTTGCATTCCATGACTCTAGATTGCATTGTTTTTTGTTTTGGGTATAGATTTGGAATTTTTTTTATTAGTGACATTTATTTATACTTGGTATATGGGTTTACGTTATGGGTGGTTTTTAATCACCTTTCAAGGATGACAGCCACTACCCCCCTCCCCCCCGAAACACCAGTTTGAAATAAATAAAAAGTGAATGAAACTCTTGCTTCCCTACGGTTATTGTATGTACTGCTACTACAGTGTCTGAAGGCTAAATGTAAACAAGTACAGTGAAGAAAAAAAAAGAACTTCAAATATGTTCCAATTACAAATTGTTTCCTCCCAGTGAAATATTGACTTATGCACTTTACACAAGGGTCCTTGTAGACCATAAGAATTAGAAAAGACAGTCTGCCGCCTAGTGGTGGAATTGTATACCACACACTTCAAAAGGTAGAGGCTCACAGTGCAGGCCATTAACAATGAGATGGGAAACACAAAGACTAGAAGTCAGAGTATATGAATGTAGAAGTAAAAATGGGGATAGAGAGAGACAGTGATTTCACAACTGAAAAAGTGTGGCCATTGTCCATAGAATCCAGCTTATCCTACTGCTGTGAGCACAGGATCCAGCTGCTCTGGATGATCATGTGACCTCCGAAGGTCTGGACACAAATTTACAGCTGAGCCTGAAACTGTAGGCAAATGCAGTACAGCCTGTCATATTAAACACATACAAATAACACAACAAAACATGTAAAAATCCGGTACCATTTTGAATTCAGCTAGATTTTCAGTCTGCCGTTTTCATGACAAAGCAGTGAGTCATAGATAACTGCCTTCAAAATTCTTTGGTACTCACCACTATTGAGGAGAACTAATTGTTTATATATATAAAAAAAATTATTGCCACATACTCTGCTGCAAAAGAGAAAATTCTAGAAGGCATCTTTGCCATTTACATTTTGCGGATACATTTGCGTATCCAGGGACGCTGATGATATGTTGGACTGATTCTCAGGTTATAAAACCAAGTAAGCAAACTGACTTTAAACTCAAAATCAGCCTGGATAAATTCAAATTTAGGTAAAATTATTTCTTGGTCCTTAACACAGAAAGTACATTTTAAAAATCACCCACTTCCGCCCTGGAAACTACACATTTTGGCTTTTCCACATCTAAAACCATATAATGGCTAAGGGTTCAATTCTGACACAAAGTACACATCTCTATGGCAAAGTGAAAATTGCCCACCCATCTTTTTCCAGAAACCACCAATATGTACAAACTGGACTGTTCTATTGGAGGAATGCAATTTTAAAACCTACAGGGGGCAGGATTAACACCCGCCTTCAATCACCACCTGGTTCAAATGAATGAAGTCTAATAAAGTAACAGTATTTTGACTGACAGTTCAAGTTAATCCCACCATCTTATGATTTAAAGGCTCCATTTGTTAGCTACATGCTAACAATGAGGGGAAAAAAAAGGAAATTGCACAAAATATCAGTACTAGAACCTGCCTTTGTGTCACCCCTCCAAAGAGTGTCCAAAAATATTCACCATTGCACATAAAAATAAATTAACATGCAAATCTCTTTATAAAAAAAAAAAAAAAAAAGAAGTAAAACAAACTCGTGGGGTCTGTTTTGGTTGGCTGGCGTGCGACGCCACGCCCTCAGCTGAAGACCCACAGCTGGTACCTGTCAGAGGGGTCACATGGGACCAGGGACGGGTGCTCGTGGCGGGCAGAGAGGCAAAGCTTCAACCCTGGGTTCCAGAGCAACTGACTCTGCAAGGAAATCAGACACAGAAAGTTATCATTCCTCAAGAGCGTAGACTGATGGGTTAACTGCAGCACCCATGTAGAAGTCACTTATTAACTGACCTTAATTGTCCAGAGAGAATCGCAAAACTGTTTGCTTGTATTTGTTATATGAACTACATCATATTTTATTTATGTAGCAAATGTTTTTCTCCAAAGCGATGCATACTGTTGAGAGAAAGCAGCCTCAGACAGTCCCTGGAGCAAATTGGGGTTAAGGGTTTTGCTCAAGAGTCCAACGGTGTAACTGCTCTGCCGAGTCAGGGTTTGAACCAAGGACCTTCCGATCGCACTGAGCCACTCTCCGTCCCGCTAACGGCTAATGGAAGAGCAAGGCTACCGAGGAAAGAGTCTCCATCTCGCACGCATTAGCACCAGCCTACCTCTCTAAGGTCCCACTTCTGCTCGGCTCCGACGAAGGTGCTCCTCCCCTTGTACTGACACTCCTCCAGCTTCACCGCCTCCTCCTTCCCGTGGAGACACAGCTCCTTCTGAATGTTGTGACGGATCTCACGGTGCGTGGAATACTCAAAATACTGGCCAATAAAATTAAAGAGGGGTTTTTAGGCAACGCTACCACATGCCAGGGCAAAGGTGACAGCAAATTAGCCAACTAGCAAATCAGGCGTGAGGACAGTGTTTAAGCATACATGAACATCGTTACTCCAAATCAGATTAACCATCTTTAAAGATGTCGGCCGAGGAGCACCTGATTTCCTCCAAGTCCATGGCATGGGTACATGATCAACTCTTTTCCACCCTCATTGTTCTCCCCAGCATCCAGACAAGAGTCTTTACCTATGTTCATCACCTAGGGAGAGGGTGGGAACATAGCTTAACTGAGAGATGTCCAGGCCGGGGTGAGGCTTTACTGTGGAGGAGCCTTGACGGTAAGTGAGAAGCTTTACCGCGCCGAAGTGGAGAGGGTTGAGGTCGGGCATGAAGACCTCAGGATACACGTTCTTCAAGTACCAAGCAAAGCTCTTGCATTGCAGGCGCTGCCGGAGCTCCAAGCGCTTGGAGATGTCACCAAAAGCCCTCTGTAGGAATATGATTCCAGGGATTGGTTTGAAGGTGAAGCACTTTCAGAAGTGACCCTCTTTCTCCTAGCAGATGAAAACCTCAGGCACGATTCAGCCAAGACTTCAAAAGCCTTAGCAGGACAGTTTGGAGATAATATTTCAGTTTATATTGCAGCCCACATTCTTCTCAAATGTATGATCCGATCTTTAGTACCACCTCAGCTGGCTAACCTGGGGGGGGCGTTCCATGAAGTCATGATCATCCAATAAGAGTTCAGGTAAGGAGCAATCGTACTGGACAATCATGACTTCTAGCTTAAGTTAACCCATTTCCCTGAGAGATCCGGCTTTGTGGAACACCCCCGGTCTTTAGCAGTACCCAAACAACAGACAAAACAGTTAAATCAGCCAGTCAAGATAAGATTGTTATAGTTTAAGACTAAGTTATACACACAGTAATACTGGACAAATGGTTAGCAATGGTTATCAAACCACTGAATTATGAGAATGACACTGAAGAGACTGGCAACTTAATCACATTTCAGTCAGATGTATGAATATTTAATTTCTTATTAAGATGAAAGTACAGTCTATATAGGCACTGTGCAGTAAAATGAGCAGAAATGCCAGCTTCTCAGAGATGACGTGCACACCGACCAAAGGAGTGATCCCTAGGAGTGATCCCTCGCACACGCTTCTAAAAAGCCCCCAAGTTAAACCATTTGTAGAAGATATTGAACGAAGAAACCGTGGACTAAGGAACACTTAGGTAAAACAGCAACAGGCACACGGTAAGGACCACAACATGCCAATGCGGTGTTGAAGAATGTGCCTTCCTGCCGCTGTAATTGATTCGACAGTAATGCATGTACTCTCTCTACGGTGAGGGAGGCATATTAGAAAGAGCCAATTAAATTGGAGCCGTGCTTAGCTTAGGGTTTGTAGTGCTGCAACCTTTTTTCAAAATCTGTTCAGGTTAGAACAGCCACTGATGGGGGGGGGGGGGGGGCATCCCAGCATGTGGCTGCCCAAACAAGACAAACACAGGAAAGGTGACTGACCCGCAGAAACCCCTAACCCCCCCCCCCACATGCTTGGAAAAATAGGAGCATTTTTATCCCTGCTTGCAGCTGGAAAAACATTCCAGAGCTGCACTGGATAAGCACCCCCCCCCCAGCAATTTGCAGTGTTCTACGCTGTGTTTGCATGGACACACACACACACACCATGCTGTTGAAGGTCTTCCCACCACCATGGAGAAAAGGGGGCTGGGATCGCAAGACCCGCCACATACTTCTCTGGCCATCTGGAAGGCTTGCTGGTTCCTGCGGTAGAAGATCTCCTTGTAGCCGTCCATCCAGACCTCGGCCAGCCGCACCTGGTTGCGAGCGATCACCTGCGTGCCCTTGGGAAACGTGTGGGGGCTTTTGGTGCGGAAGACGTGGCCCACGACGGAGCAGGGGATGATCTCCAGCTGCCCCCCACACTGCCACACCTGGGGGGGGGGGGGGCACAGTAGGTCAGTGAAGGCCCATCCTTCCTCATCCAAGCAGACATGGCAGCCATGAGCTATGCCAATGTGAGACACTGGGTCAAGTCAAATCAACCCTGCTACCATCACAGCTACAAGATGATGGCTGGAATGAGCAGAACACATAAAGTTCTCAAATTACACGCCACTCCAATGTGTCACGCATCAACACAAACAAAAGACTAGTTATAGTGGGCACTCAAACAAAAACAATACATACAAAAAAATACACATTTGGGTGGTTTGAACTTTGTTTTCCATGTCGACTTACCCTAAATGACATTTCGATATTCTCTCCTCCCCAAATTTCCATTTCCTCATCGTAACTTCCTATGTAGTAGAAGTACTCTTTTGAGATCGAAAACAGCCCCCCTGCAAATGTCGGAGTTCTGTAAAGTATATGGGTAAATATTTATGTGGCTTGGAGGATCTGCAGTGAGGGAATCATTCCCAGAACACAAAGACATAACAGTAACAATGACAAAGGCAACCATGAACACACATGTTTGGGTAGACAGTTAAGACACAGATATGCTTGTTGTGTTTGCATATGTACAGATATGTATCGATGTGTTATAGAAGCTACATTTTAATCAGTCAGTAACAGATACATTTAAGTTCTCAGCCCATTTCGATGCACATCTTAAATTCTTAAATGAGAATGGAGCCCCAAGGCGTGTGTCCTCACTTGATGGGGTAGGTTTCATCCCTCCGCCGCTGTTTCTCATGGTCAGGAATACTCTCCCAGCCAAAGGACAAGCCCCAGTCGAAATTTCCCCGGTTGTGGTTCTGCCCGTACGGGGACGGCTTCACAAACTCAAAGGTGTTGAGGTCGATGGTGGTGATGTCAGGACTCACCACGGCTGTGCGGTTCTCGGCTATCCGGGACAGCAGCGGTTCCAGCCAGCCCTGGAAGCACTCGCCTGGAAGGGACAACGCCCGTGTCAAAGCACAGGCCTCACCACGCAGCTGTGCACAGACGTGCACGGGCCTCGTCACTAGGTTTCACAAGTATTTCCACAAGACCTCACTAACAAAATGGAAAGCGAATACGCGAGACAGACATACACATCAGCAGCCTCTTCGTTTTGCTAGTCAACTATGAGAGAAAAGTCTTCATTTTCTCTACTGACAACCAATCTCGTCCATTAGGAATGGGGAGGGGGATGGAGGTTCGAGGTAAGAGCTGGACACTGGGCACAAGCACTCACAGTGAGCATCCAGGAAGGTGAGCACGTCTCCAGTGGCGACGGAGGCGCCCAATAGCCGGGCGGTGATGAGCCCCTTCCTCTCGTGCTGACGGACCACTCGCACGACGTGCAGCCGGTTCAGGTACTCGTCCAGCTCATCCTTCAGGACCTCTGTCAGAAGTCAGAGAGCCGAGACAATAAAGGCTAAGCACACATGCCTTTCCCATCAGTGACCAGATGTGACAATCCAATGCTTTCGTGCAACCGCTCCTCATTTCAGAGTCGAACTCATAAAAATCCCTACAGCTACAGCTGTGTCCAGGGAACAGCCATAAACAAATCATACGGTTATAATTGGCACGGCATCTCATTGGGTCGCCTCACACCTCGGGTTGGCGGTTTGAATCACATCCCCACGGACTGCATGGATTTTCACCACAGCAGAAAGACACGCAGTAAAGTTAATTGGCATCTGTGAGTTGCCCATTGCATACATGGGTGTGAGTCCAGCAATGGACTGGCATCCTGTCCAGAGTGTAGCACCTGCCCTTTCGCCGTGCATCCTGGGATAGACTCCAGACCCGCTGTGACCCTGTACTGTTTAAGAGGCTACAATATTGATGGATGTTACATTGTTACAGAATCTGCTTAAATGGCTAAAGATTTGATTTAATTAACCAAGATTCATATCATAACCTATGACTTGAGCTGGACAGTTCAGGTCCAGAAAGTAAAAATACAGACCAAGATTTTGTTTTAACCAACCAGTTGAGTACAAAGAGTCACAGTCACAGAGTACTCAGCTGGTTGGCTGAAACAAAATCTTGGTCTGGATTTTTATTTTCTGGACCTGAACTATCCTCCTCTGCCTGTGATCCTGCATTTAAGAGACCAAATGCCCTGTACAAGATAAATTCTGACTAGCCAGTCAGATTTACAGTACTAGTTTTCATCTACATTTAAATATCTACCTGTCGCTTCTATTCAAAGTGACTTGCAGTAGAGAGAAGAGTTAGAATACTTTGTCTGCGCTCCCTGGGGCTAGAACCAACAACCTTTGTGTTGATAGAGTAATGCTCTACTTGTTGAGCTACTGACCCGCTGATCACCATTGTCATTAAAGCAAACTGAGATTGATGCTACCCCCCCCCAACTGTAACCCCGACAGTAACCCAAGCTGCAGCTATGGAGTGCTGGACCTCACAGCGAGCAGGGTGCTGAGGAGGAGTGGTCTGGTGTCCTCATGTTTACCGTCTGAGCTGGCATCATCCACCAAGATGATCTCCTTCAGCAGGATGGCGGGGGAGGTGTGAAGGACACTATACACAGTCCTGAGCAGAGTGCTCCATGCCTCATTATGGAACACGATGATCACGCTGGTCGTCGGCAAGGCGGGGCACCGCTTGAAGGTCTGCTCAATGCATCTGCCAGGGTAAGAGATGGGGGGGGGGGGGGGGTACGAGCACAGCAGGTCAACGCCATACATCTCCAGAACTGACTCATTCCCAACAGGTGTACACAAGACATCCATTGTGTAAATTGCCTCATTTAAAACCTGAAGAACAGCTTGTTAATTGCAGCTTGTTAATTGCCTGACTAGACAGATGTGCTTAGATGTCTGGAAGCAGCTAGTGAATTCTAATCTCTCATAACTGAGCTTTTACAAGAACTAGATAATAATGAATCTCAAAATTTCTTTTAGTTAAACTGCACTTTTCTGTTAGCACTGCTCTGTTGAACTGTACTCAACCTGCGGGAAAATTTAACATTTTTACATTGAAGCTGAACTGCGGAAAAGCTTCTTTATATACACACACACACACATACACATATATATACACACACACACATATATATATTATATATATGTGTGTGTATATATATATGATATATATATATATATATATGATATATATATATATATATATATATATGATATATAGATTTGTGCATGAAAGGCTACGGCCACAAGGGGGTGCTGCTACCAACACCGGAGAAATGTCATTTCAATAGTTGGCGTAATAGTGCCGGTACGTGACCACTGTCGACCTTACAGCTGTCATGTGACTGAATGTCCAGCACAGAGCCCATCATCTTTACACGTATTTCAATATTACGGGACCGCATGCGCGAGGATCGCTCTGCAGCTTTCTGAATACACACTCCGGTGGTCTGGTGTCAGGCCCCAGGTCCCGGCTGAGCGAGATGCGGTCACTGGCGAAGAGGTTGAAGCAGTGCTTCTCCTCCCCGGCTTGCTTTTCCTTCTCCTCGGAAGGGCTCAGGCTGCCCATGCGGAAGGGCTTCCCAGAAGCCCCCGGTGAGCTGGGGTTCTGGGGGGGTCGCTCCAGGGAAGGCCGGAGCTCCGCAGCAGTGTAATGTCCGGGCAGACAGGAGGGGTTCCCGGCCCTCTCAGGCTGGCGCACGGGGGCTTTGATCTGCATTTTTGGCACAGCGCCCCGGAAGTTATTGACGGCCCCCATCACTATTCCCAGCACGCCGTCCTGCTTGCCCACAGCACCCCCCAGCCAGGCCTCCTCTCTGGGCCTCTGGCTCGCCACCTCACGTTGGATGAGGAACAGGAACGTGAGGAACAGGAGAGCCAAAATCACCAGCTTCCAAGGGTACAAGCGCCTTCTGAAGAACCTAGAGAAGGCAGTCATGATGTCCGTCAGATGAACTGACCAGTATCTTTGCGGTAAGGCTTCTCCAAGACACGAAGGCTGTTGGAAACATCAGCAGGTAATGCTGAAAAGTCACAAAGATGGTAAAGTTAGATCTACAATATTTTGCAACCATTATAAAGAAAGCAGAGAACGTATCCCCATTATGAGCAAACTACTGCACAAATAACAAGAACAAATACAGAATAAACGTTGTACATTCAGTCACAACCACACCAAACACTGTTATTTAAGCTATAATCTAATATCTTTGCCTGAATAAAGGCCGCGTGTTTAAAACTTTAAGTTACTAGAACTGCATTCTTCTAATAAACCTATTTCTCATTAAAAACAAAAGAACAAACTCTGATTGTTACTCGGTTGCACACATTAAACATTTTCATGGATGGAATACAAACGTCTACAAGTTATGCCTCTGTAATTATCATAACGTGATATACATGCGACTATACGCAAGTTAATCATTGCACATGCTGACTTAAAAAGCGTTTATAGATATACAAGCTCGAGACCATGACGTGCATAAAAGGCATCTTAAGTAACGAAAACTCCAAAGCTGTATATTGACTTTTACTCCCGTTCTGTTAAACGAACATACTTACTTTCTGTACAAGACGAAGTATGCAAATAAGTACAGTTAATAAATGTGTTCCCGAATGTTATGGTGAATAATCCGCAATGAAAAAGCACTTCCGTCTCGCCGAGATCCAGGTGCGCGGCTTCAGGTGCTGGGAGGGGTCTGATGGGGCCTGCGTCAGCCAGCACCCCCGCAAGGTAAATCCAAATGATCTGCATACTGTAGGTGTTCCTGAAAGCTGATCCCTCCCTGTTTTTCCAGGTTTCTAAAATTCGTGTAAATTTAGTGCAATCTGCAAACTGTTTGAAAGCCAGTGTACAACGAAAACTTTATTGGCTACATATAACTGAACAGCAAAACAACGTTTAGAGATGTTTTTATCAATTCTGGGTTACATTAACATCGTCGACTTACGATCACGACTTTTAAGTCTCCTGCATTTCAGAATGAGAAGCAAAATGTATAATTTACTTGCTTTTTCCTAACGAAAATGCACAAGAGTCACTTTTATCAATCTGAGCATTATGAATAGTCTCACCCTAGTAGACTATTACTAATCTGGCGTCACTGATTTATTTAACAGATTTAGCCAAGTTACCCATATTCATTTAAAGTGTTGCCGGGTTACTAACACTCAAGATCGTAAGGTCTGCTGAATACAGCCCAACCAACTGCCCCAAAAGATAAAAATAGTTCTGGTACCCAAAGAAGCCAGTCAATTAAACATACTTGCATTTATTTCAAATAACTGTTATGCACAAGAAGTATGTACATGTCAGTATGATGTTTTGATACTTAGTATCAATCTTCGGTATTATATTGGAAAAAGAAGAAACGTGCATTCGAAATATATATGAGATTTGCACTGGTCACTTGATACAGAAAACGGATATCTAAAGACCGCACTGCCAAAAACTAAAGTTTCGTTTTTAATTCCAGCCGAAAGTGCATTAAATTACGTGAGATCCGCTTTGATCGCCAGGTATTAATTGCAACCCCTCAGATTTATTTCGCAACTTACCCTACGGAGCGCTCCGATGCATGCCTGCAGACCGCAGTATCCCCCTTCTCATGTCCCCACAGATGATGTTTATAAAAGGGTCTTTTAATAATAAGAAGCCGAGCCAGCGGTGAGTCGGCTAGAAGTGGGTACGAGCGACTGCAGAACCTGGAACAAAGTTAAAGAAACAGCATATCGCCGTAACCCGCCGCTCTCCCCCGGCACGCAGCATTAAACACCGCTCAAGTATTATATTCATTTAATTGGTACATTACTTGAACGGTACAGGAGAAGCGGAGAGGAGTGTGCCCCTGCTTCCATTTGGCATAAATACCGTTTGTTTTCTTCTGATTTTGATCAATAACAGATAGCGCAGTGTTTGGAGCCAAAACTCGGAACAATGAAGAAATTGTGCTCACAGGGGTAAAGTCATGCTTTAGTGGTTGAGCAGAAAGAACTATCTCCAGTCGGTTTTATTAGCATATTACATCCAATTTAAACAAGTTTTCGAAATGCCCATAAAGAATGAGAGTCTGGACGCTGGCTGTCGTTGGTTTGTATTCGTTTATTACTCATTGTAAAACAAATGACTAATTAGATTTACGACGTTTGTAATTTGCGTTATTAGAAGAATAACCGAATCGCCTCTAAAAATGTCTGAGTACGTTGCCAGTGATTTTATGATACATAGATGATACGTTTGTCCAAAGCAACTAACGTTTTTATGCACTTGGTATTTTGCAGGAGCAAGTCAAATGAAGTATTGTTTTTCCCCCTCAAAGGTATTAAGTTAAAACCCTCCTGGGATATGAGTCAGCATAAGAGAACCAACTGCTGTGTCACCTGTAGTAACTGACTGCTTTAAGTGGTAAAATGGAGTATAGAATTGTTGACCTTGGATGAAGGAGTTGTAAACAATGTGGTTCTTTTAGAGAGACAGAATTTTCTTGATAAGGAAACCAAATTTAACTGTACTACAAGATGGGCTGTGGTAACTATATCCTACTAAGCAAGCTTCAAAGCGGGACAGCTTTGACTTATATTAAACCCTAGTACCCACTAGGTAACCTTAGTAACCACTCCTTCCCAGACTTCCCAGTCTCCATGCCATGTTCCCACTCCTGAACTCCAGTCGTTACCTTCTGGGAATCTCTTTGAATCCCATTCATCCTACGTTAGGCAGGGCTTCTCTTCATCCAGTCTGTGGTAAGGGATGGAAATTCTACGGGCTGTGAGAAAATCTTAGATGGAGCAGGTCCCAGCAAAGTCCTGAGAGAGCAGACTGCCTGAGCGGTATCACCGTGCAGAAGCATGCTGGCAGTCTGCAGTCTGCACACACAAACACAATGAGGCAGAACATGGGCAATGAAAACATTCACTAAAATAATAGCTACAACTCCCTTTTCTCCACCCCCAGACATGTCCCCAGTTAATATATCTGAGACGGTCTGGATGTCTGGTTGGGCTTTAATAAGATCGCCCCCCCCCCAACACACACACACACACACACACACATACAGCTATGATCCTGCACTACTTTAGAAGAATGAGGTGAACATGCTGTAAGAGTTAATTAAGCCTTGTTCAGCCTTTAGTCAAGTTCTTAATTAATTTACTCATTATAACTATACATATATAAAGCATGTGACATTGGCTTGCAAAAGCAAAAATGTAGAAGTGGCAAGATTATCTAAGAAATAAACATAAAGAAACAATTGCAAACATGCAGCTTGGTTATAGCGAAGGTGTGAAACTTTCGCAAAGCCAGATTTCTTGCTTAACAGGATAACTTGTTGGATTTAAGGCACCGCAGTGTAAATGGACTTTACCTTAAATCCAACAAGTTATCCGGCTAAGCAAGAAGTTCTAGTTTGTGTTACAGCCCCCTGGTGGAGAGGAAAACAAAGCTGTCAGACTGTACTGGACAGACACTTCAGGTTATTAAAAATCTGATAGTTCCATAAATATTTACTGCACATATCTCTTGGAAGCCGGAGACCGATAACCTACAGGTCATATCATGAAATTTCAGTTTATTACATGCCAGCCTCAGAGTGACATTTAAGGTTCAGCCACGCTATGACGTATGTTTAATACAGCCTGTATGGCAAGCCGCCTCAAAGGTCATACTTATAATCTTTGAAGGACCGACATCTATACATTAAATGTAAGTCCCCTGAAATGTAGACTGTTGACATCAAACGCAGAGACAGTACAGAAGAGGTCAGTGAAGTACATGATACATGGTCAGTGTTGGACATTGAATCCAAAACTAGCTAAATGTTAAGTGTCACCTTCCTGTAAGCCTACGTCTCTGTAATTTAACCCATACAACCATATGTTTTATAGCCAGAACGAAACACGTTTGTAAAGTTTAACATCAAAGTACAGGAAATGTGTTCTAACTTAAAATATCCATTGACTTTTTTGCTTACTTGATTTCTGCAATGGTTAATTATTATTTGGCAATAATAAATGTCTTGAAAATGCTTTTTACATAGATATAAAAATAGATCTGCTACTTTGTTGTGAAAAGCTGCTTTGTAAATCTATATTCTCCTGCCTAGATATTTACATTGACCCTGGGAAAGAACTTTCCTGCCTTATTAATCTCTAGCTGATCCAGTTCATTTTGACTATGAATGATGATGCAACACCACTTATGTGCAGGTGCGGGTTTGAATGTTCTTCCCGTGTCTTACGGGTTTTTCCAAGTTACTGTTTTCTTCTCATAGTCAAACACTCATATTTTAGTGAATTGACAGCTGAATTGCATGTCCATTGTGCATTTTGGGTCTTCCCCTACCTTGTGTCTCGTGCTGCCTGCAACCCAGTACTCGAGGATGGGTGGGTGGGTGGATGGATGGTGCAAGTTACAGTGCTGATCGGTATTATAGATAAATGCTTTATTACAATTATTTTGTTTATTTTACAAACATTCAGTTTTACAATGAGTTCAAATGAATTACATATTACTTGCCAAGTAAAACAGTGCAACCATTAATGTGACTTACCCTTGTAACAATCTAAACAAATATGCTGCCGCCTTCTATGGATTTTGAGATGCTGTGAAGTTCAGTGATACATGTTGACATTAAAGAAAAACCAAAGGGCATCGTCCAAAATCTAGAATTTCCCTCAGTTTTGTTTGTGTGTATTAATGGTTTCACATGAAAGTCTGGAGGAAACTACAAACCTGCTGAAAGGTGGAGCCGGACTCGAGTTTGGGGTGTCATTCCCGAAACACCAGGTGCATCATCATCTTGAAGGACAGACCAACGCATCACCAATGTTGGTGCTTGGAGAGCTTAAGCTAGTCCTGCATCTCCTGGTCACAAATGGAAGGTTTCACCGTTCATTCACAGCTTGCTTACGGACACTGCTGAACAATGGGCCCTTTTTATGTTTCTGTGTTGTGTATATATAGAGATCGCTTTAAAATGAAAGCTGATGATGAATGGACCGCATTCATCTTAATATTTGTACCCAACAGCTCTCTTTGTAAACACAAACACATCCCACTCTGTGTGTTCAATGAAAGCAGTGGAGATGCATCCGACTTGATGGGTAGCAAAGACTCGGGTGTCCACAGTGAAGCGGGGGACCACTCTTTGGTAAGGGGGGGGGGGGGGGGCTCTGCTGCAGCTGCAACAGGCTCACTGGGTGTTCCGTCTGCCAGGAGATGAACCAACTACACTGTCTCTCTCCCAGTTAACAAGTGTGCCTTCATGGAGATGCCTTTGTCTCTGGTACTCCCACCTGGAGCAGCCAGTAACTGGATCATGGATCACTTTGAACAAGTGACTGCCCTTCCAGGGTACGTCCTGTTGGCGACAACTTGGGTCACTAGTCATTTTAGAGCACTGCTTCACCGAACAAAACCTAGCATTCTTTGGGGAAGATTCAATTTCATTTTATGGATATTTTCAAAAGAGGTAAATAGTTTCAACAATTTGTGAATTAGGTGTGTTGCCATTCCTTTGCAAGTTACGGGCAAACTGTGTTGGTGTTTTTCTCACAGTTATGTGGATCTTGGTGAGTAAGATTAAGTAACACTAACTAGGTGTAAAATTCTGAAGCAATGGTGAGAGATACAAATCGGGAAATTCTTACTGCTCTTCTGAGAGTCCAGAATTTGAAGGTTGAACCAAACACAAATTTCGTGATGTTAGATTCCACATTATTGACTTAATATGGAGCACAATATGTTTTGTTTATGGAATGTATTTTTTATTACTATTCAGTGGGAAAAAATGCCAATTGTCAAAACAAGAACTAAAGGACAACAATTCATTTAATACAAATACTTCAGAAAGAGTAGAGTATTACCAAGAAACTGAGACACCACCTGGGGGAAAAACACTGGATTTCTGGTGATTTTGTTTCCCAGCCCAGTCCTTGTCAACCCCCAGACAGTCCGTGTTTTTGCTCCTTCCCAGCTCCCAGCACACCTGTACTAACCAATCAGCACTGTATACCTGGTACAGGTGTGTTGGGAGCCGGGAAGGAGCAAAAACATGAACTGTCTCAGGGTCCCTGAGGACTGGATTGAGAAACCTTGTTTTAGAGAAAACAGAAACCACACAAGCAAATCTGGTTTACAGCATTTGATTTCCACACACGAAGGTCAATTTGGAGGCACAGATTCCACTGAAACTGCATGTCTGTGATGAGGAAATGAGGAGCTGGTGCAAGACATAATCCCCGAGGCTACGATGTAGATGTTTCGAACTGACTTTAAAATCCCCCCATTTGGGCAGGATATTTTCAAAATGTTTGTCTATTTCCCACACTCTGAAATAATACCTGATGTTTTTATGTAGATCTCCTAGAGTGAAAAAATAGCCTGTGGAAACTAAAGAGCCTTGTGGTCTTTAAGGAAAACACCACTCACACCCCGTATCGTAGGACAACGCGAAGCTGCAGCAGCTTTGGGTTTTCCTCGCGCTAATTCCCTGTTAGCAGCTGTTCCCAGCAGCACAGTCCTGTCAACACATGCACAAA